ACATAAAAAAAAAAGGTTTAAAGGAAACGGAAACAATTTCCTTTTTAAAAAAAAAAAGGATAATTAATTGATTCGCTTATGTATTTTTAATTTAAAAAAAAAAAAATCGAATAAGCTTTTAATAAATTATTATTATTATTATTACCGTCTTTATAATTAATTGAAGAGAGAGAGAGAGAGAGAAAGAGAGAGAGAGAGAGAGAGAGAGAGAGAGATGAAAATAACGCTAGCTTTTAAAATTAAAACATATTATTATTATTATTATTATTATTATTCTTAAAAGGACCCCCAAAATTTTTTTTTTTTAACTTAAAATTACTCATTTTATAATAATAATAATTTTTGTGCGTTTCACAAATCAAAACAATGATAATATTAATAATAATACTATTACATTATAATTAATTATTATTATTATTATTATTATTATTATTATTATTATTATTATTATTATTAATTTGATATCAAAGGTTCGAATAATTTAATTTTTTTTTTATTCATTCATAAATTAAATGTTTAATTATGAAAAGCGACGTTTAAAACCTGAACAATACATTTTTTTAAAAAAATTTTTAATTAAAAAAAAAAAAAAAGGTCAATAAAAAATTATTTTCCCACTTAAGAAAGATGATGACGTAATAAAAGTATTATTATTATTATTATTATTATTATTATTATTAATAATCATCACGCTCCATCGTTTTTAATTAAGGCAGCAAAAAAGAAAAAATGCTTAATTTTGATGTCAGATTTTTTTTTTTCATTATTTAAGCAATTTTATAATAAATAATTAATAAATTTTGTTGTTGTTATCGTCGTTAAATTGTTTATAAAAAAAAGAGAGAGAGAGAGGGGAGGGAGAGAGAAAGAGAAAGAGAAAGAGAGAGAGAAAAACCGATGTGAAATTTTAGTTGTAAAGATATTATAAACGATAATAATTATAAATAATCTATTGACACGACAAATTTATCAACTCTATTAATTTAACGCGAGAATTTGATATTTATGTGCGGTCACATTATTTATATAAAAGTAAAATTTCCTTTTTTTTTTTTTTAAGGTAAATATTTTTTTTTTTTTTTTTTTTTTGGGGGGATTCATTGTACAGGTAAAATGCCATTAAAATGCCACAATATGGCTGGATTGTTATACAATCCGAGGTTTGACATTAGAAAATTAATCCCACGATACATTTTTAATTTTTTTTTTTTTTTTTTTTGAGAAAATTTATCGTGTCTCTTTCCAAAAAAATATTTCCAATGAACATTTGTCTAAAAATTTCTATCGCTACGTTCATTGTAAATAATTTAATTATTTATAAATAATTTTCGTACGTACGTTCGTTCGTTTGTTCGTTTGTACGACAAAAATAAAAATGTCGAATCCCCGTCGTAATTAGAATTAATTTAACGTTAAAAAAAAAAAAACGCCCACCACTTTACATTTAATACAAAACCTTTATAACAGAATTACATGTAAAATTTGTGTCGGGAAAAGCGTGTGGGGAGGGGGAGGGAGAAGGAAGGAGGAAGAGGGAGAAGGGGAAAAGGTGGGGGATTCAATTTTATTTTTTTCTCAAATTAAAAAGACACTGTAATTGCTTTAAATTATTTTTGTATAAAACGGCAAAAAAAAAAATTTGAGAAAATAATAAATTGATTTTCTTATTATTATACTTTACATTATTATTATTATCATTAAATTTTATTAGTTTCCTTTTCCTTTTTCCTTATTCAAAGGATAAAATAAAATGACAGCTTATTAACAAAAAAAAAAAAAAAAAGGAAAAAAAATTATAAATGTTTTTAATACGTTTACTAAAAAAAAAAAAAAAAAAAATTCACGACGATGAGGAAAAAAGGTTTAATAATAAGGAGAAAAGAGAGATAGAGAGAGAGAAAAAGGAGGATAAAGTGTTTTTAAAAAAAAAAAAAACTGTCAATCTTTTCAATAATCTACATAAGGGGGGGCCAACCCCTATATAAAAAAACATGTGAAACAATAACAACATTGGTTTCTTTAAAAAACGCTCTTAGATTATTATTATTATTATTGTAAAATAACAAAAAAGGGGGCAAGATGAAAAAAAAAGTGTTTTTGTTAAATTACCCCCTCCCCCTTCCCACCTCCCCCCGTCGTTGTAACCTGAGAAATGTCAGATATTACGAATCGTCTCGTTCTTAATTAGCCCCAAGAGTAATTAATTGACGATTTTCTATTATTATCGCCGAAAAAAAAAAAAAAAGATTTTCTCCATTTTTTTTTTTTTTTTTTATTCCCATCCTCATTTCTCATCGCCATATTTGATCTTTAACGTAAATTAGTTAGATTGATTAAAAAAAAAAAAGGAAAAGAAAACTGTTTTAATTAATTATTAATATTATTATTATCTTTAAAAACAAAAAAAAAAACGAATTCAATGTTTGTTTAAACAACAACAACAAATTCGTTTTTTTTTCACATTCTAAACTCGCAATATCCCCTTACACCCCCCAAAAAAAAAAAAAAATTGGTGGGGGGAGTATAGGGAGATATTGTTTAAATGTTTTTCATCGACGACGAATAATTTAATTTTAAACGAACGTTTTAACAAAAATTATTACCGTGAAAATCGTCATTTATTAATGACGTCATCAGGGTAATAACAGGTTGCATTCATATAAACATATTTATCAACCCTAATAATTTTTTTTTATACAAAAATTATTATCGAGAGAAACATGTTTTTTTCATCCCCCTTCTCACTCTCACTCACTCTTTCTTTGTTTATGTTTATATAAATACATGTTGAAAAAAAAAAGAGAGAGAGAGAGAGAGAGAGTGAGTGAGAGAGAAAAAAACGGGACTCATACTCTTTTTGTTGAATTCAGAGATGAATTCAGAGAAATAACTCGTGCTATGTTATTGAACACGCGTGCTTTTAATTAAGGTATTTGTCCGATTTTTCCCTCCCTCCCTCTCTCTCTCTCTCTCCCTCCTTTCCCATTCCCGTTTTTATCCTATCTATACAAAATACATTTTCTTTTATTTCTCCCGATTATTATCATTATTATTATTATTTTTTTCTTTATACATTAATTACCGATACGTCACCTTCAATTTTCACAATAAATTTGATTACATTTTAAAAAAATGTTACAATTATTAACGATTTAAAAAAAAAAAAAAAAAATTCAATGGCAATATGAAAGTAAATTTAAGGACACGTGTAAACAATTTATTATTATTATTATTATTATTATTAATATTATTAAATTTTTTTTTTTTACTTCTTTATTATTTCCGTTCGTTTTCTTTGTCACGATTTACTGCCTTACGTACTCTTTAATAAAACAAACAATAAAATAAATTTTTTTTATACATAAAATGAACCGACGCAAATAAATTTAATTTACTTAATTTTTTTTTTTTTCCCGTCGTCAATTATTATTATTATTATTATTATTATTATTATTATTATGTATTTTTCGATAATTAAAAATATTTTTTTTTTATTAAAATAAAACCGTCGAATTTAATAAACGTTTTATGTTATTTAAAAAATTGTACGAAAAATAATAGATAATTTTTTTTACATAATATCAATTTACAATAAGTATATTAATAATAATAATAATAATAATAATAATAATAATAATAATAATAATAATAATAATAATAATAATAAATTATATAACATAAATGATTTTAACAAATATATTCTTGTAGTAATTACAGAGCGAATTATTTTAAACACAAAAAAAAGGGAAAAGTGATTTTTTCCTTTGATTTTTTCCTTTGTGTGTGTGTGTGTGTGTGTGCGTGTGAAAACGATAAAATTTTTATAAATAAAAAATAAATAAACTCCTTTGACTTATTGAATCCCCCTCCCTTTTTTTTTTTTTTTCGAAAACCCTTTCCGTGAAAATTGAAACCGCTATATGAAGAAGAATAAAAGTAAAAATCCTTGGATGAAGGATAACTTAATAAAATCCCGAATCCCAATCAATTCATCTGACAAATTACTTCCAATACATGTGTGCGTGTGCGTGCGTGCGTGCGTGTCAACGAAATCAGTACCGTATCAATTCTTTTTTTTTTTTTTCAATACGTTTTTAAATTTAAATATAAATAATTTATTATTAAGTGAAAAAATTGTTTTGTTACATTTTGATCGAATTAAAATTTTTTAATTTTATGTAATTGAATTTATAAAACAAAATGGAGTCTTTGCGATTTAAAATTTTTCCAAATCATCCTGTCTTGTTGGACGATAAAATGCTCTGTGATAATTCACGCGACCTCCTTGCCTACAAATATTATTATTTTTTATCCAAACGACGAGACCCATCAAAGTCACCAATCCTAATATCACAATAATAAATATACTAATTAAAATGGGGCCATCGTTTTCCGGATGATTTCCATAAATATCTAAACATCTCATTGAATAATTTTTTGCATGGAGATTAACAAATCTTTGACCTTTCATAGCAGACGGTTCTGCACACCTGATAAAAAAAATCCATAGTAATCAACACGTATTTGTTTAATTTAAAAGTAAAAAAAATTAAATAACTCACTCTAATCCTTCAACTGGACTCGATAAATTTTTTAACAAAGGTACCAATTCGTTAACCATCCATTGATTTTCACAATCGCACACTAATGGATTTCCCATTATATTTATGTGTTTAATATTATTCCAAATCGGTTTAAATAAATCGTGATCAATGTATCTCAATGCATTATCGCTTATATCCAGCTAAAAAAAAAAAAAAAATTTACAAAAAAAAAACCGTTACAAACGTTTTAAATTTAATAAAATAAAAATTTTGCTAACTTTAACTAAATTCGGCCATTTTTCCACAGTCGAATTACTTTTCGTAAATATTTTGGGTGAAATATATGCAAGATTTTCATTCATTCTACAATAAATATAATCCAAACCAGTTAATCCGCTCAAAGCTCCTTCTTCTATTCTTGTTAAATTTGACATAAATGATATGTGAAGTTGTTTGAGTGACGGCATTTCCGGAAACGACCTAAAAAAAAAAAAAAAAAAATATTTAAACGTCATTGATGGAATTAAATGAAAAAAAAAAAAAAAAAAAAAAACTGGAGTGTTTTCTGAAAGTTTGAGACTTACTTTTCACCGGATAAAATTTTAATTGGATTCTTATTTAAATTTAATATTTTTAAATCGTGGCTTTCGGTCAGAGCTTCGAAAGGAACTTGTGAAAATAAATTTCCTTTTAAAACTAATTCTTGTAATTTTCTCGGAGTGTGTAAAAAACCACCGGGTAATTCTTTAATTTTCGTAAACGATAAATCTAAAACCTAAAAATTAAAAAAAAAAATAATAATAATAATAATTAAAAGTTATTAATTAATTTTTTTTTTCATTCGATACTGTGTGCGACACGATTATTAAAAATAGTTTGAAAAAATGGATTCCGTTCTTTTTCTCACGGTTTAATAAATAATATATATAAAGTTTGATTATCGTGAGAGTTATCATATCAATTAATAATTTACTTCTAAATTTGGTAGACTTGAAATTGCAATAACGGTAGGCTTATCTAATATTTTAAATGGATTTTGTTTCAAATATAATCGGACAAGATGTGGCAAATGTTCAAATAAATCCTGATGTAACGTGTGAAGTTCGTTCGAAGATAAATCTAATATTTTTAATTTTAACGGTTCGTATAATCCGACATCGTAAGGACCCTAAAAAAAAAAAAAAAACAGCAACTTCATTATTATTATTAATGTCATTTTTAAAAAGAGAGAGAAAATTTATTCAAGAGTATATATATGTTGAATAAAAAAAAAATTTTACCTCAAAAACGGATGGAAGTAAATTAATGGATGTGAGCTCGTTCATGCTCAGATCTAATTCTTCCAACTTTGTCAAAGCTTTAAAAGCTCCATCGTCGATTTTAATGAGTCGATTGTTTTTATAACTTAATTTAACGAAAGGAAGAGACGGCGGGAAAGCCGTCAAATGACCAATATGATTATTGTCGAAATAACATTCTAAAAATTTTGAATTGGACAAATTTTTCCACGAATCAAATTGAAAATTTTTATGAAGTTGTAAATTACGACAATTCAATTCCAATTCCGTGCAAAAACAAACGTGACAAATATTTTCAACGTTTTGTCCGAATATTTTTATCGATATTGATATAATGAATAGAAAGTTTTGTAGTATGAAGAAGTTCATCGTCTGAAAACAAAAATAAATTTAATAAATTTAAACTTGAATAAAAAATTTTTTTACAATCTTCCCCCTCTCCCAAAACAAAAGAAATATAAAAATTTAATAATAACATGATTATTATCATTTATTGCTTCTTTTTTAAATAAATAATACTTAAAATATATGTAAGCATGTTATCAATATTTTATTTAAAAAAAATTAAATTGAAAAAAATGTTTAAATTTTTTTTTTTTTTGTGATAATTCTTTGCGATTAAAATAAAAACTTTTTTGTTAGATTGAACATTTTTTTCTTATTTATTAAACTCCGATTCATTCAACATTAGAAAATTTCATCAAATATATTTTTTTTATTTAATTTACTCACATTATCTGAAAAAAAAATTTAAAGTACAAATTTAAAGTTAAATTGTTCACTTTTCAAAACAATAATTTTACTTCCTTTATGAATAAATGTTTAAATAAAAAACCACATTCAAACTAAAAAAAAACTACACTTAATTAAAATAGTTATTTTATTATTTAATTAAATAAATTTCAATTTATTTACTTACTGCGTCATAAAATGAAAACAAATTTTTATTTAAAAAAAAAATAAAATAAAATTTAAAAATAATAATTATTTTAAGAGAGAAAAAAAAAAAAAAAAAAGTTTTTCATTTGTTACATTGAATCAGATATTTAGATAAATATCAGTGATGAATCGACAACAACAACAACAACGGCTTGGGTCTGCGGTTGCATAAACGATAATAATTTTTTTTCCTCATCTTCTTTAAAACCTAAAAAAAAGTAATTTAAAGAGAAAAAAACATTATTGTAAAAAATAATTATGTTGTAAAAAAAAAAAACGTTACAAATTAATAAGAATTTGTAGTTTTTTCAATGTATAATTAAATGATTATGCAAAATTGTGACTGAACGTTTAAATTAAATACTATTTAAAGTTAAATAATATTTTTAGAGTCATTTTTTCTTTTGTTCGGTTTCAAATCTTGTCAAAAATAATTTGAAAAAAAGAAATACTCACACGATATAGATTTTTCTTTAAAAAAAAAAAAAAAAGTATTTACTCCGACACTGTAAACGTTTAAAGATTTGACTTATCCAAAAGTAAATATAGATAGGAACACCTAATCATATCTTTATGTTCATCGTCAATTTTAAACCCTTAGCAGCATATTGTCATGAATATTATTTCAAATATTATATATCCTGTAATTAAAAATGTATTTTAACTAATGGCGTCGTCGTCTCACGATTCAAAATGTCGATTATGAAATTAACTATTAAAAAATATACATTAATAATAAGAGTTTGTACTAGCAAGTAGTAGTAAACTTACAAAAGATTTTTTATAAACGGAAAGTTTTTCGTGGATTTTAACGTCTGTAAATTTCATTTTTTCAAAAATTAAACGCTATGGTAAAAAGTTCGTTTCATTCCATTCCTCATTATGTGTGTTAAATTTAAGTTTTATCTTTCTAAAAGTAAATTTTATTAATTATTAATAAATTTTAATACTTATTTGTTATTGATATTGTAAAATATTAAAAAATAATTTGCAACATTTTCAAATAAAATCATCATTCGAATAATTTTGCACTAATTATTTGTCAGAACTCTCAAAATTCAAACTGGAGACTAACGTATTTTTTTAATAAGGCCCCGAAAAATCAAAATTTCAAATTTGTTTACGTAATTAGTTTATGATTTACGATTTGAATTTATTAATAAGTTCATTTTTTACTTATAATAAATAGTTTAGTATTTCTACAATAACGGGAAAAAAAAATCAAAAAATATTACGGGATTTCGATAGAAAACTAAATAGGTAAAAATTTACATTTAAAAAACCATTTTTTTTTCGTGTATTCATCGATAATAAATTTTCGATATTTAACCGAATTATTTATCTAACCTAATTTATTATAGGAAAAATTTTGTTTGTTTTAATATTATAAACTCGGTTTAAAATTTATTATTTTTGGGATTTAACTCGAATATTATTTTTATATAATATTAAAGCGAACGATTTTTATCGATAAAATCCCCGATATTATCGAAACGAAATTATTTTAAATAAATTTGTCATGTCGATAATCTAATACCATATTCTATATTCGATAAAGAAAATATTATGGCTGGGTATTTTCTTTTGAATTGCAAACACATTGACAAAAAGATTGTTATTTAACATAAAATATTATTTTAATAAGAAAGAGGATCATGTAATTCATTTAAAATTAATAAAAATTGTGACATGCTTTTAACATTTCACCAAATTTTCCACTAATTTTCTTTTAAATAAGGATTAAACATAAAATTATTATAAGCAGACAAAAAAATAAGAATATTTTTTTTATTTAGAAAATTGAAGCATTTTAAACACATTAAATATTTTTTTAATGGATTTGCAAAAATATTGATAAATTTATTAATAAATATAAAAGTCTAATACATAAAGCTTGCATTAAATTATTAATTATTTTTTTTCCTTTCTACATTAAAATAAAATTTAAGTATTTCATCATCATTATTCTTCATAATATCCATAAATATTTATTATTATACTTTTAATTGAATAACTTCTTACATTTAAATAAAAATATTAAAAAATATTTTTTTTTTTTTTTTATTGCAATATTCCTGAATAATGAAATAATTGACTTGATAAATATAATAATAATAATAATAATAATGAATTGCTAATCATTTTTTTTTAAAAAAATAAAAAAGTAAAAAAAAAAAAATCAAAAATTACAATAAGTTTCAATTGTGACCTATAATATAATTTAAATATGTTTAAATTACACAAAAAAAATTATCAAAAAATGCAAAACCATGCAATAAGCATGAATATATATATATATATATAAATAAATCACATGAAATTTTAGCTTTAATTTTAATAATAATAATAATTAGTGGTGCTTAATTGATTTATGATTGTAAGCAACTAAGCCAATTTTTAATTTTGCCATAAAAAAAAAAAAAAAAAAAAAAAGAATTCAGTCCTGCAATATTTTATCCAGATCCGGTTCTGGTTCTCCTTCAGCAAGTAGTTGTGTTAGCAATTCATAAAGAGGTTCAAAAACTTTTTCATACCCTGCTGCTGTTAAATGAAGGTAATCAAACATATCCCTGTCATCAATTTCACCTATGAATGAAAATTTCCTCGAGTGAAACGAACGAAATCTATTTTTTTATAAAATTAATAATTTTTTTTTTTTTTTTTACCATTAGCTTGAACTAAATCTTTGCCAAGATTTAATATTTCACATTTTGATATTAATTTTCCACAATTCCTAATTATTTGGTTAACTTCTTCATTTCTGACTCTATTCGAATTCGGATGTTTACCACGAGGTAAAAGCTCCTAAAAATAAATTTAAGATAAGATGTGGAAAATTTGTAATAAACCGAGCCTTTATAACCAAAATAATAATTTTTTTTAATTGCTTTGTGCTAAAATTTAATTAATAAGATATTGATTTATTTAGAATAAATATATTTATATTATAGAAAAAAGTTTAAAGCCATATCTTACCAAAAGAACTATGTAAGAATCAGGTTGTTTTTCTCTAACTTTCAATGCAATTTCTAAAATTCCTTCCGATATTTCTTGAGGAGTATTTCCATGATTATTTGTTCCTACTAAAACTACAATTACCTAAAAAATAATTATTTATAAATAATAAAAGATTTGTATAAGTGAATACATTAAATATATATATATATATATATATATATATCATTTTAATATATTTTACTTTAAAAAAAAATTAATTAAAATTATTGATTCAAAAAATAACCTTTGGTTTACAATAATCAAATTCTCCATTTAACACCCTCCATAGTACATGTTGAGTGCAATCTCCTCCGATTCCAAAATTTAAAGAATGCATAGGAACAAACCATTTCATCCAAACAGATGTAAGTTGCAAATACTGAATTAAGGAGTCTCCTATAAATATAACTTCTGATTCTTTATCTTGAGATTCTCTAATAAATTTTTCATGCTGAAAATGTTACAACAAAATAATTTTACATTTCAATAATAATAAAATTATTGTCTTATCGATAGATAAAAATATTCAAGATACAAGCCGGTATCTGATAGTACAGTAAAAATACCTGTTTATCGTAAAAATTTCACAATTAACGTGATAAAACACGTTTAAAAAAATTATAAATAATTGTTTGAATTGATTTTAATTTACCTGTTTTAACCACCTGTCTTCTCCATGTGGATCTGACACTGGAATGGGATTGATGCAAGGATTCATTTTTAAAACTAATGAGAAATAATAAAAAACATTTGTTTTTTTCAAAATGGCAGTAAACTTAAATCACTCTAAAAAAAAAATAAGGTTGGCAGCCCTAACTCTACTTATAATGGACGACACAGTATAGTTATAATAATAAAACCATGCTTCGAAGGCAAGCTCGACTTAGAAGAGAATATTTATTTAGAAAATCACTTGAAGAAAAAAAGAAAAAGATTTTAGAAAAAAAAGAAAAAATTAAACATAGTTTAACTAATAATGTGTTAATACCGACTGAATTGCGAAAAGAAGCGCTCAATTTACAAAATAAGATAGAATGGGAAGATGGAGGGCCAAAAAAGTCCGTTATTGAAGGAACTGAAGAAGGAGGAACGGATGGGACACATCAGGATGATGAGTATAGATGGGCCGGTGTAAAGGATCCAAAAATCGTAATAACAACGTCAAGGGATCCATCTTCTAGATTGAAAATGTTTGCTAAAGAAATGAAGTTGATTTTTCCAAATTCCCAAAGAATAAATCGTGGTAATTACGAAATGAAACAAATTATTCATGCTTGTAGAGCTAATGAAGTTACCGATTTTATTATATTACATGAAAATAGAGGAAAGCCAGATGGATTAACTATTTGTCATTTACCTTATGGTCCCACAGCATATTTTTCAATGTCTGATGTTGTCATGAGGCATGATATACCTGAAATTGAAACAATGTCTGAACAATTTCCTCATTTAATATTCCACAATTTTACTACAAAATTAGGAGAAAGAGTGACAAATATTCTTAAATATTTATTTCCTGTTCCTAAGGAAGATAGTAAAAGAATAATGACATTTGCTAATCATGATGATTATATTTCGTTTAGACATCATGTTTATAAAAAAGTAAATAAAGATATAGAAATTACAGAAGTTGGACCTAGATTTCAACTTAAACTTTATGAAATTAAACTTGGAACCATTGATGCCTTGGATGCTGCATCCACAGAATGGGTTTTGCGACCATACATGAACACATCCATGAAACGAAGATTTTTGTCAGATAAAGATGGTTGGGAACAAGATGATGACTTTATATAATTAAAAAATTTTATATAATAAAAAATTTTTAAATATTAAGTAACTTTTATTTTTATTTATTATCCTTTGTTAACCTACTATTACAAACTCTACTCAATATTTTGACAATTATTTTACTTATAAAACACATTAAATTGTAAAAAACAATACATGATTGTGCATCAATACAACATTCAACTGATATTTTAGTAATAAAGTTTTTATATTAAAAGTAATTATGAGGTCTTAACGGATTATTTACATTGTACAATGAAGGATCACCAAAAAACTTTGGATTCTTTATTTTGCTAAACATTAACCAACAACAACGAGCTTTAATTATTTCTTTTTCAACTTGTTTCTGTTTATGTTCACACAGTCCAGTTATGTGTCTTCCATAGACTTTACCAGTGTGCCTTGATATAAATTGTGATAATAGTCTGACATTTCTAAAGTCCGGTGTAATATTATATTTACATAGAATACACTTGGGCTTCTCTTTTTCATATGGATTTTTCATTTGTACAGGATTATTTTGATCCTTGTTCTCTACATTGTTTAAAACTTCACCTGTCGCTGATCCCTGAACAGTAGAAGAAAAACATCGCAATGAATTAGTTAAATAATAAAATCGTGACAATTTTCGAAATGAAGCCATTTTTCTTTCGAAAGATTCAAAAAATATTTTTCTGAATTTACTGCATTTTAGGGCCCCGAAAAAATAATGTTCTCACATCTCCTTCTGATACATTCTGCACCCTAGCGGTTAAATTATGAAATAAGTCCAGTGAAAACCAAAAGGGAACTTATACGTATTCTACTCGTGGTCGGTGAATGAATTATCTATTTATAATTACACAAGTGTTAATATTATTAATCGAAAAGCGTTAGTTGTTAAAAAAACATCATCAAAATTATTTTATTGTGTTGACAATTTAAATAAATGTAAAAATTTTAATTGAAAATCGTGAAATCGTAAGGTTCTTATTAAAGTTATTATCAATTTTAAATATCTATTTTGCTTAAATAACGCGGTAAAACAATTTTATGACTTTGAAAAAATAACTTCGCCTATTATTTATATATAATTTATTGTAAAAAAAAATGATTTGTTATTATTTAAACGATTGATAAACTGAATGATTGAAAGTGAAAACATAATAATTGGTTTTGAAGCGCGACCACTAATGTGTGGAAATAGGGAGGGCCGACGCCATTTTTGACGATGAGTGACATTTTAAAACCTGCCAGTCAAGTTTGACTCTTTGTTTACTAGCTGTCAGGTAATTTATAATAATAATTTTTTGTTGAAAAGAGTGCATTGAGTTTCAATTATAACAAATAAATTATTTTTACATTTTGAAAATTATTTTTTATTTAAACGTTTGAGAGAGTTTTTATTATTATTATTATTATTTATAAATATTTTTGTAAATCTTTTGGCGTTATTGACTTGGTTAAGTGTTTCTTTTATCAATTTTATCGTTGTAACAGTCGGTTTATAAAAAAAGAATATTTTCTATTATTTATTTATTTAATAATGTTTCATTAAATATCTTATTTATAAATTATAACAAATCGTGAGAAAGGTAATGTTGCTTTTGTTTTTTTTTTTTTTTTTTTATGATAACTTTTAACTGAAAAGATCACCATTGAATCTTATTATCTTAAAAAAACTCTCTTTTACTTTTTTACTTTTTTTTTTTGTAACCAATTTTATAAATGAGAATGAATTGAAATTTTTTTATAATTTATCAAATTAGAAAAAAAAAAAAAAAAAAAAAAAAAAATTGATGGGAATTAAAATATGTAACATAATGGGGCAAAATGTTGTGACATTAATAGATGAACAATCTTTTTTTTTTTTATATTTAATTAAAAATTTATTTACCGGAAACTTGATTTAATGAATTTTTTTGTTTTTTTAATGCAAATTTTTATTTAAATAATTACAACATTATATATATGTACATGTACATATATTTTGATGCTTCTTGATTTGCTTTTAATTAAAGACTTTAAAACTTGTTTTTTTTTTTTTTTTTTTTTTGAAACACAATCTGTGTTATGATTTTTATATAATAACAACATTTTCACATCGAATCATTATCATTTTTTTTTTTCTTTTCATTATTATTATTATTATTATTATTGTCTGTTAAAATACATATTCTATGGTAATGTGGGCAATAAAAACAATTTTTTTTTGAATTAATATAATAAAAATGAGTGAGTTTATGTTCATGAAATTAAACGAATATTGACCGATGAAAAATTGTTATCGAATGACAATTTTTTTTTTTTTTCAAAAATAATTCACACACACACACACAGTAAAATGAATTTTATGAGAAATATTATTTAATATTCAATTTTATTCAAAATTTTATTTAAATTATTATTAAAGAGTTTAAATTTTTTATGTTTGATCATCACCACCACTGAATGCATTTTTTTTAGAAAAAAAAAATGAACGATAGAGTTTGGGAAAAAGTTTTTTCCTTTTTTTTTTTCTTTTTAAATTCAGTAAATATTAATTAAATTGTTTTATTTAATTATTAAATATAATTATTATTAATGCAAAATAAAGTGGTATTTCTTCTACAAAATAGTAGTTACATAATTAAAATTTATAAAATATAAATTTATTATTAGAAAAGTATTTAAACAAAGAAAGAAGAAAAAAAAAGTTTTTAAGATTATTATTATAAAAAAGTTGAAAATCGTTAATGCTGGGATTATATAGTAATTGTTAAAGAGAGAGAGAGAGAAAAGATAGAATTAAAAAGATGGAGATGAAATAAAAGTTGGATTTAATCGCACTAATCAAAACTTGTATCTCGCCAAACTTGACCATTGAGAGAAGAGGCCATCTTGATGCAACAAAATTAAACGTTTAAAATAATAATAAAAAAAAAAAAAAAGTTTACAATTTAATAAAAAAAAAAAACATTTTACGTTTTATGAAATGAATAAAACGAGAATGAAGTCCATGTTTTGACGAAAAGATGATTAAAAGAAAAAAGAAGGAGAAGAAAGAAAAAGAAAAAAAAAAAAAAAAAAAAAAATTACCAACTTATTATAAAAAATAGAAAATTTTAAACGAGAGAGAAAGAGAGAGAGAGAGTATAAAATATATATTTTCCTCTCTGTGTCGCCTGTGGATTTTTTATTTTTTGACACAAATTTAAACCAGATAAAACTATCGAAAACGAGTATCGGGATTTAAATAAGTAAAGTAAATTATTAATAATAAAAATATCGATTGATTACGTCACGATTGGATGAGCAAATCGAGGAGAAAAGCCACCCACATGGAACACATTCGCAAAAGAAAAACATTAGAATATAAATAATGTGGATTGTTTTTATAAACAAAATAATAATAATAATAATAATAATAATAATAATAATAATAATAATAATAATAATAAGACACACATACTCACACGGTGTTATTATCATCGGATCGCTTAGCTCAAAGTAAAAAAAAAAAAAATTATAATTATTGAATTAAAAAGGAAAAAAAACAATTGCGATGAGAGAAAATAGATATATATAGAATTTAATGCGTATCATTTAAAAAAAAAAAAAAAAATGGAAAAGCGTGGGCCCGTACCTTGATATTATTATCATTCGCATAAAATTTTTATTTTTATTTTTTTGCTGCTTTTGGATACCCCGAAGGAAAAGGGAAAAAAAATTGGATTGAAAATGATTAAAAAGAACATGAATTTTTCTAGATTGACACTAATGAAATTCATTAACGAATTAAATTATGCGGTAAAATAATAATAATAATAATAATAATAAAGAATAAAATTTATTAACGATAGTCGTCAAACGTGATATAAAACATGTATCGGACAAAAAAAATGGTTTTAGGATATATTTTAAATTAGGAGGGGTAAGGAGAAAAAAAAAAAAAGTGGAGCGCATAATTTAAAAAATCCCTTGGGGGGGATTCGAAAAACGGACCCCGATATACTAATCCTAATACGCCATCATCATATTAAATATACATTATATCATTATAAAAAGTAACCATACACGCGTAATCAAAATTATCGCGGGGGTAGGGGGGTGGGTAAGTGGGGGGGGCACGTTACCACTTTGCAAACAAATACTAATAACTTACCTACAATAGATTTCTTTCATCTTTTTTTTTCACGGATATAATAGTTTAACGGTCGTATATATATATTACATAATCGATTTATATCGTCTCCTCATTACTTAAAAAATTCACTCATTCATACCTTTTATTATTATTATTATTATTATTATTATTTTTGTTTTTTTTTTTTTTTTGAAGCGAATCAATGTGCGCTACAACGTCACAACGTTTTGCCCATTTAAATATTTATTATTGTGACAAAAATAGTTTTCAATTTGACGAAAAAGGTTTCTGTCTCGAATTGGGTAAAAAAAAAGTGGGGGGAGGGTGTGAGGTTAAAGGGGAGGGGGGTTACATAACGGGAAAAAAATTTCGTGAGTTTGCGTGTGTGTGCATGTTGGTAGCTGGAAAAAAAAGGAAAAATTTCGAACCGTTTTTTTGTTTTCGTTTGAATTGATATTGAAGGAAGAAAGGAAAGGTTTCAAAGGAAAGTGATACGGAAATGACAAAGGTAAAAAAAAAAAAAAAAAAATGGCTGATCGATGGTATCGAACAAAATAAAAAATTTGGTTCGGAGAAAAGGGAGAGAAGGGATTTGTTTGAGTGAGAAGTGGAATGGGTTTTTCCGTTATTATTATTATTATTATTATTATTATTATTATTATTATTATTATTATTATTATTATTGTTGTTGTTGTTGTTGTTGTTGTTGTTTAAAAAAATTTTTTTTTAATTTTAAATTGTTAGCGAGTACGTGCGTGTTTGATGATTTGAGCTTTTGTTAGATTTTGGCAAATGAATAGTGGGAAGAAAATTAAAAAAAAAAAAAAAAAACCGGTACCTGAATCACCTGTGAGGTAAAATGCGTTTCTCTCTCTCTCTCTCTCTCTTTCTCTCTCTTTTAGAAAATTCGATTCGGATTCAATATCGCTTCATCACGGCCGACGGTTGTGGGTGTTGTGGTTCTCAAGTCTTTCCTTTTACCTTCCCACCCGCATATTATTCCTCTTTAGGATTTGTTGAGGAACCCCGTGGCATAGAAAGCACAAATGTTTGACCTTTAGCCTTTTTTTTTTTTTTTTTTTTTTGATGATCTTGGAAATCAGGTTTAAAAAAAATATGTGTGTGTGTGTACGTAATATTTAGCATCGCGATAATAAATCAGATAAATAGAAAAAAGAAAAAAAAAATTATAAAATATATTCATTAATGGGAAATTTATTTAACACTTTTAGCGGGTTTGAAATACAAAAAAAAGAGAGAGAGAGAGAGAGAAAAATAAAAATATGTGTATAGCTTTTTTTTCTCTCTCTCTCTCTCTCTCTCTCGTGACTGCAAGGTGGAAAAGAAAAAAAGCAGAATACAGAATGATTCGATTGAAAATTTTCTAGAAAAAGTTGAAAAATGTTTACTCGAATCAAACTCGTATTTCAGTGAGATCGTTTACTCCTCCCCCCCACTCCACTCCCTCCCCCCTTTCGATAAACGAAATTAATTAAGCAGTTGAGAAAGAAAATAAAACATAAACATGAATGCACGTG